GACCTTGTGGAAATGCAGGTTCCGATTCAGTACTTCCGGGTGGGGTCTTGCGATCCTGCTTTTCTGAAAAGCCGTCTGGTGAGGTCAGTGCTGCAGGTCCGGGGACCATCCAGGGCTGGACTCCGTGCTGAAGAGAGAAGGGTACCCATGAGTTTGTCGAAATGCTCTTGGTCTCACGCCCACCTGGCAAAGTGACTGGGGTGCACTGATGCTCAATTTATGTTTGTCGAATGAATGAAAGAGCTCCTTATGTCTAAGTTTACGTCAACTAGACTAGACATATCCTAGAAAAATCCGGAGGAAAAAAAACAGGTAAAATAAACGTTTTCAGTCTTCCCACCTGATTTCCACCCCCATTGCGAGCCAGTGCTGATATTCACGGCTGGCTCCGGAATCAGCAGGGATGCCCACCGGGCAGATGGCTGCTGGGGGTTCAGGTCCGGTGGTTTATTGATTGGTTGCCCGTCAAATACCTATTTTGCATCTTTTGGATGATGGCTGTAGAACAGTCATGGGTATGAATCTTTAAATAACAGCTTTGATCTGCAATTTACGTAAAACTTTCACAAGTCTTATTTTATGAATATGTGGAAAGAAATGATTGCAAAGATTCAATTCTGATATATTTTTCTAGCTAATAGGGAATGAAGCAAACGCATTTGAGCTGTTCTTTCCCCCTGAAACTTTCCTTCCCACATTCCGACAGACCTTAACCAAAACATAATATAAAAGCAGAACTATTTTACAGCTGTCCTATCTTAAGACTATTTGGAAAATGTCATTTGAGGCATGAAGTGGAAGCCCTGGGAGCTTGGGAACCTACATCTGTTCTTTCACTGCTTCGGGCTCAGGGCCGGCTCTCAGCAAACCATTTTTGAGTGACAGAAGCTGACAGGGTGATCTGGATATTTAAGCCCCCAATTATTTTAATTTGGGGGTAATCATGGCACATTTTCCCTTCCAGAATCCAAATTATTGTTTTGACTCTCCTCTTCAGTAAATAACCCCGAGTTTAATGTGATCATTAAAGTCCTAATTCCCACCCCCCACCACAAGGATTGACTTCTAGAGGAATAATACTGGGAAAAATCAAATCAAAGAGACTAATTTGCTGCAGGACCTTCCCAGACACGTTGTTGCTAACGTGCACTGGAAATCCCCAATAGCACTTTTCACACTGACTGGTCCCTGCAGCCGCCTTGTCACAGAGCATTCAGTTGTGTGGATTCTGGAAAAAGCTGTTCTGTGTTATATTTCACGTTCCCCATCTCTAAGGAGGCCCACAATGATTGGCTTCTCTAGCTTGCTTATTTGTGAAACGTCATCAAAATGAGTATTTGAACATTACTACATAAATTATTCTAACAGATCAGTTACAAGAAACATGTGAAGGTGTTCGATGCAGACAGCTAGCTGGCGGTTGGGAGTAAAATGTTGCCACTCTCAGGAGGTTACAGCCTGTGCCTGCACTGAAGTTTTCTCTTTCTCCTAGACCCATTCTTAGAGTTCTGGAACATGCACATGTAGTATCTCTTTTGCAAGGAACATCCTGATACCACCTTGAACCGGATCAAGACCCGTGAGGCGCTTTCTTGCATTGTCTGCACAAATATATTAATTTTTAGTCATTTATCTAAGTTGTAGAGGCTTTTTTGAAAAGAAAAAGATAAAATTCCTTCTCCCTGACTTCCTCCAACCCGAGGCAGTTGAGAAGCTCTGACTGGCAGCAGTGTTTTATTTACCTTTATATTTCCTGCCTGCATTTCCTCATGTCTCTCGGTGGCTGAGCATTTTAAATACATTCTTGGGCACAGGCTATATATACACCATCTGATACACCTGTGTGTTTAGTATCTCTCCTCTCAGATCTTAATATATTGATACTCTCCTGTCTTTTTTTCTCTGTGCTCATGATTTCAGGTGTGAGTTGTATTGCCCTTAAAATTGATTTCTAATTGTAAGAATTGAAATATAAATAAGGACAGAAAAAAGTAGATCCCCATTAAGGTGACTTCTACAGTAACCACTTCTCATTGCTGTCCTTTTTTTTTTGGGGAACACCTGTAGCTAAAGAAAGAAGTTTGTGAGGTAAAAGAAAGGTTGGTTAATTTCATAAAATTAGTCAAAGTTAAAAATATTATTTAAAAAATATGTTTCATCATTTGGTGACATTTCAACTCAGATGTATACATGTCTTGAGGACTTCCTATGTTAAGAAACTTTCTATCTAAATGCCATTCTGATCTTTCTTAAACAGTATGTAATTTTTTAAAGTCCAGGGAGAAGCTCCTTCCAACCCATTTAGAAGAAAGCTGAGGATTACTTTTCCCTTCACCTATATGACTGAGATCTGAAATTCTGTTAAGGGCTGTAAAAAAAATATTCAGGTGTTAAACATGAGGACTGCAAAGTGTATTTCAGTTCATACACACACACACACACGTATATATACATGTGTATATACATACATATAAATATGGTTATTTTAGACTTGGGTCCAAAATCCAGGAGATTTTATATCAGAAAGGCAGGGATGTTTTTGCTCTTGGTTTCACATTTAGCAGTTTAACTCTTGTAAAGATTGCGCTTAGGTAACTGTAAATGCTGTGAGATTGTAGCTCAGTAAAGAGAGGAAATCTACATCATATTGTTTCAAGTTTTAACTGACATCTATCTTTTTACATGTTTTAAAGTAAGAATATAACTTCAAGGCCTTCATGGGGATAAATAGAAGTGATTTATCTGGGTGATGGGGTTTTGCACAATCATCATTATATAGCTTTTCATGTTTTCTATAATGAACATGTCTTAATTTTATAGTCAGAAAAAATGTCGATGTAAAATGACTCCCATTTATTTAGGAAGGTTCTTAGGAAATTCTAGAAGTTCTTCCATACCTTTTCATTATTGCTGTTCTTTTTATCTATAGTGTTCTCATAACTCAGAACTCAAATGAGTCACTGCATTTGTGCTGCAGGATGACTCCGCACCTGCCTCGGCTCGGGCAGCCGTCACGAAGAACCATGGACCGGGTGGCTTAAAAAAACAGAATTTTATTTCCTTGAAGTTCTGGAGGCTGGAAATCTGGGTGCCAGCCTGGTAGACTCTGGTCCGAACTCTTCCTGGCTCACAGACGGCCCCTGTTTTCCTGTGTTCTCACATGGCGAAGTGACAGGAAACATGTTATGTGGAGTGTCTTCTGAGGGCACTGATCCCGTCCTGAGGGCCCCTCCTCGTGGCCCCATCTGACCCTGATCACCTCATCTCCAAATGACCGTCACTGTGGGTCGGGGTCAGGGTGCCGACATGAGGGTTTTTGGGAGCACAAAGGCATTCTGTCCATAACACACCCCTCGCTCACACCAGCAGTAAACAAGATTCCCAGAAAGTGCATCTAAAAATAGAGAAAGACTGGCAGGCTATACATAAACACATTAATGATGGTTATGTCTGGATGGTAGGGGGAGTGTTCTTTGTTTTTTATGAACTTAAAGTGTGTTACTTGTGTAACTGGAAAAAATATAATACTATTTCTAAAGGAAAATGAAACGCTACAGAATGCAGCCCTCCATAACAACCTTGCACATTTCAGAATCTGTGTTTTTCCATCTTCTGGTTTTTTTTTTTTGTTTGTTTGTTTGATGGTTCATGAAAGTGTCCCCAGCACTTCAAACACTCAGATGTTGGCACAGAGCGGAGCTCCATAAGAATTGTTGATCTCGTTTTCCTCCTTACTATGGGATGACAATGTTAATGATAATAAAAATCATTATTATATTGCCATATGGGACATGCCATTGGGCAGATAATATAAGAAAACAAAATAGAAAGTAGCCATACAATCAGGGCAGACACATGTGTTGCCAAGTTTTTTCTGCGAATTCATTACACATAGAATAGCCTATACATTGTCTTTATTTTTGGAACTTTAGTCTTTTGGATTCTAAGAAACGAATTGGTAAAAAAAAAAAAAAATGAGTCGGTGGCTTATTTTTCATTAACATTCAGTTACACAGGTGTTATAAGCTGCTTGAATTTGGACAATAAAATGGCAGGTAGACGGTGACAGTGCGCAAACGTCGAGTCAAACTTCCAGTGTGTTTCGTTCCAAACGCTGATGTGAGTCTAATACGTGAGGTTGTGGAAATGGCTTTTTCCCCTGGAAGAGCTCTCTTTTCTACTGTCATGTGCATCATTCTTCACTATGCTGTGAGCCTGTCACTTCCTTTTAAAAACAATTCTCTATGGTTGTTTTTTTCTCAATGAATCCCACATTTGAGTGTACTATTTCTAGTTTTCCAACTGTGTAAATCAGTAGGTTCGGAATGCTCCGCGAAGTGGTCATGTTTTTTGTTATGCAGGAAACTGATTGCTCGCCAAATAAATCATGATGTGGACATATATTATTTCCAGTTGCTATAAATTTTCAATATTTAGTGTATCAGTCACACTAAGCCAAGATTCAGTTATTTAATTTCACTCATGTCTGTATTTTAGATGAGAATCCCTTTCCCCATTAGTAGATTTTAATTTCCTTCTCTTCTCAGAGTCAAATTCCAAGTCTTATAAAACCAGCTGCTGAGTATACACATGCACAAATGATTTTTGTGTTTACAAGTAGACTCAGAAATATACCCTGGTCAATTATACCTGAAGTTACAAATTTGTCTGCTGAAGTGGTATTTTTTTTTTTTTTAACATTTCAGATCACTTTTATTGTTTTGGCTCTGGTGATTTGATTCCCAGATCTTAGATGGACATATGTAGGTAATTCTCTGTATTGTATTGACACATCATCTTTATTGGGAGCTTCAAAAATCATCTCACAGCTGATCCTCAGAAGTGGAAAGAATAAACTGTTTCTGAATTCAGGGCTCTGTCTACACCACAGTTAATGTATTACTACCAAAATCGGTTTCCAGAATCCTGTTCTGATGATACTGAAAAAAACAGTTTTCTTTGTCTCATTCTTCCTTTCCTTTTTTTTTTTTTATGAACAGGACACAAAAATCGCTTCATTGGAGCGAAACATAAGGGATCTCGAGGATGAAATCCAGATGTTAAAAGCCAATGGTGTTTTGAACACTGAGGACCGTGAGGAGGAGATCAAACAAATAGAGGTTTACAAAAGTCACTCCAAGTTCATGAAAACCAAGGTATGGTCCAGAGTTATAAACTTTTATACCCTTAATATGACTGGAAAGTTACGGTTTATATGCAAACTTTCCCCAAATACCCACATAATCTGCTTTATGTGATACCGTGAAATACATAGACAATAAAGGAGACTGTAGACGATTTTTAGTTCGGAAGCATGGATTCCAAAATGAAATCGGGGGGAAGCCCTGGGGAGAATTTCTGTTTCTAAGGCACTCAGGATTTTCTTGTGTGCTCTTTCGGTGTCCCTTTGTCTGGGAATTAATTTTTATTTGTAATAGTCCTCTCTAGTCCCGAGTTTTTGTAAGTGTGCAGTTTTTTGAAAGTTTCAGTCATTGCCACTTCTTTGGCCTGCCTCTAGAAGGTGATTGTCTCAAAAGGTGTTGCTCTTGGAAGCCAGTTTAACTGATTTCAGTGGTATGAGGTCGTTTTGGTTTTTATAGTGTTTAAGACAGTTTTGCGTCTCAATGCTGCTCTTTGCTTAAATTACTCAACTCTCTAAGTCTCAGTTTTTCATCCATGAAGTAGTGAAAAGGAAAAGAGAATTACCTGCATCATTAGGTTGCTTTGATAGTTTCCCAATTATGTGTTTATAGCACCTGGTGCTGTAATGATCTTGCGTGATCTCTAGAAAGCATTCAATAAATGCCAGGCATTGTTAGTGTTATGATGATTATTGTTACCTGTTGCTATGGAATATTTATAAAATATTGTTACTGTAACCCATTCCATTAATTTATATTGGTATTGCCCATTTTAAGGGATTTTTCTTCTAGTTTGAAAAATTAAACTTTGGACTGCAGATGGATCAAACACCTGAATATCTATTATTTTTTACATATGCATAATTATTAAATTTATGATAGCCCCAATTAGATCTTTTGCGACTTTGAGATGCTTTTATTTCTTCTTCCATTCAAACCATTTTGCTTGTGAAAATAATAACCACACCCATTTAAAAAAATTCTTTATTCTTTTTTCTATCACTTACTCTTAAATATCCCTGTTCTTGTTCTGAGGTTTACTCTTATTTTTCACCTTATAACATGTAGCAGAGTTAAGACTAACGTAGATTTGTGTGAGAAAGCAGCCAGAGAGAAAAAAAATGTCTAAATGATGGCTGTGGTTGTGATTTTTATCAGTTGTGAGGTACAATGCATACTTGCTGCAGAGAATTTGCGAATTATATAGAGAAAATAATATCTACTTTGCCACATACGTACATGTGTTTCTCTAGGGAGAAAAGCCAAAAATTATGTTTACTTACGCCAACTTCCCATCTATAAATTGAAGTTGAGATACGTCTAAAGATCTGGATCAAGGAGTGGCAATGGGTGGAGGAGAATGTCCAGTGGATCTGAATAAAACCCCTGCATTTCAGGGGCTGCACAGCATGCAGAGTGGGACTCCCTGCCCAGTGCTCCTCCCCTGTCCTTCCCTCTTGAAGAGCTGAGCTGAGGAGCAGCAGGCACGGTGGTAGGGTGACCTGCAGATGAAGGCCTCACAGTGGCCATTCACTCTGGCACTGATGACCAGAGGCACAGAGATGAGTGAACTCAAGTTTGGAGGGACTCAAGTTTGGAGGCTTGAACTTTTCCTTCCCACCCTGTCATTCAGCAGTGGGGGACAGGTCAGGCCACCTCTGCAATGAAAATGCCACAAAATTTGTAAACTTCATGGGCTCACTGTGGACTCTGTCCAGGTGAATAAAACACGTGTATGGTCTTCAGCAAGCAAATCATGACCTTTGTCAGCCCACCGTTGTCTGAGAGACCGTCAGTCCTTGAGTTCGTTTTAACTTTCAATGGCTAGTTAGTTCTAAGGGTTCCAGAAGTGGTCAGGTCTGAAGGACGTTTGTGCACAGAACTGCAGTAAGGAGGGAAGAGCAGAACCTGAAGACTGAAGCAGCCTCTGGCAAATCCCTAGCCTGCCCTTGCCAGCCGCATGGCGGTGGCGGATGACTCCGGTCACGCAACCGGACGTTCCTCTTCTATAAAGTGCAGGTAACGCTGCAAACCTTAGCGGGTAACTCAAAGAGGTAAATGAAATAAAGTGGATAAAGTGGCTGGCTCAAACCTGGAGCTAATTATTGTACCCATTGTCACGAAGAAGTGTAACTGAATGTGATAATAATAAAAAAACCTGATTATAATAATACATAATAAATAAATGTCATGTTTAACTTGACTAATGGGGAAAAATGGATTTCTAAAAAGTACAAATAAAAATGAGTTGTTAGAAGATCATGCAGATATCCCCTATAGACTGAAAAAAATCAGCTAAAGGGTACTGGAAGAGTGAGAATTTTATATTTTCTTCATTAAAAGAATGTTCTTATGGGACTGAACCTTAACATTTATTGCTGTCATTATTTCATGTCATTATTTCAAAGGCCTATTTTTCTTACTTCTGCTTTGAGAGGGGAGTGTGATGCCTTCTTTAAGCCTGGGTATGGTTGAGCAGGTATACTAAGACATAGCTCTTGCTAAGTGTTTAGTCTTGAGAGCTTGTTTTTTGTGCTTTCTGGGATCCTGTAGGCTGTGTGAGCTGATTCCAGTTGTGTGAATCATTTGTCGTGGAACTTATTATGTTTTAGAGGCATGGATTGATATCCCCTAAAATTGGATTGCTAGTGTAGTTCGTGATCCACTGTGGCCTATTTGGATAATATTTCTACAGAGTTGACATGAATACATTGCCTGCCCACTTCCTCACAGATATCTGAGTTAATTTCTGCAATAGTTGGCAGAACACTTGTTTACTGTCATCACTGGAGTGTGTTGAGCTCTTTCAGTTAACCTTTCGTTTATGGATAAAGCTTTCAGTGATGGATTTTTAGCCCTCTGGTTCCCGAAGACTTACTAAATGTTGTGTTTAGCACGTGGCACTGAGCTGGCTACTGAAGGCACTAATAGTAGGGCATGTTCCAAGTATTTCCTATTCCCAGTACTGACCACTTAGCAGGGAAAGTACGAAATGTACGCAGAAAATGATCCTGGAGATTTGATGTGAGGAGAGTTCCCTTCTGGCTGGAGTAACGCAAGTTGTTTAGATGTAGAGTTAGTGTATTTTGTCTGATTAAGACTGGCAACACAGCAGTGACAGGGCTGGTGAAGAATGCAGCCTCAAATGAAGCCGGAGCCAACCTCAAAGGATAAGTAACGATGCCATCCCACCCCCAGCTCCACAGGGAAGGAAGGAGAGCTCAAGCCTCTGGGAAAGGCCAGGTTTTCCAAAATAAGACAAGAAATGTTACATTTAAATTGCAAAAACGTAGAGGCTGTGCAACTTACTTGGGAAATGGAAATGCAGTTGTTAAACTTTTGTGTACACTGACGCAGGGGCAGAAATGGAAATCATCAAGCGACTTAGGATCCGAACTAGCAGAAAATGCTAGATTTGAGGCAGGGACAGTTGACCTGAGCAACGGTTGTTATAACTATTTGTAATTATTCAGCGGGTTGTGGCATTTCAGAAATTCTTAGGCATTGCTGCCTAAGGAGGGGAGTAGAACTCTTTGAGAACCAAACCTGAAATTGCAGTTAAATATTGTTACTTCTTCTTGTGGTTAGTAATGAATATGTAGAAAGCTTTAAAAAGTGCACTTTGACCTGGCCCTTTGCAGAGGCACCTTCTGAATGATCGCTGTTTATAAAGGCCGCAGGCTTGGCTGTGCTCTTTAATCCGAGTATTTCTTTAAAAGAGGTCTCAAATGTGTTCTGTGTGATTACTTCGATGTTTATTATTTTTAAAATTAAAAAAGATTAAAAAAATTCTAATCATGAAAAAAAAAGCTCCTATCCATATTCTCATTTGCTTTTATTTTTGAAATATTAGCTGAAAATTACTTTTATGACCCTTTGGTGATAAAATCAACTCAGCATTTGATTTCCTCTTCATGAACACGGTATGGTTTCAAATCAGCCTCAATATTCATATGGAATTATTTACTCCAAATAGATAACAAAGGCAGCTAATAATCATTCTTATGCACAAACTCATTTTTAGGTTAGGAATATCTTGAAATAAATAATTTTAAATGCCTCAATGAAAATTGTACATAGAACCAACATTGTGGTAGGAAAAGGGAGTGCTATTTGCGGTAATTATTAAAATGAATAAAGCCTGAATGTTGAAGGGAAAGGAGGTGTTTTGAGTGGCCATGGGAAATGGCATCAGCCCCATTTTGTGCTGAGCAGATAGATGGCTGGGACCACGTTGAGAACTCTGTGATTAAACTGAGCAGCGGTGAAGCCCTTAAATTCTTTGATAAATCTGACATTGTAGAAAGCATTTTTGGAACGGTAGGAGATGAATTGCAAAAATGCAGAAACAGAGTCTAGAATCTCAGCCTGTGCAAAGGCCAGGAAGGAAATCCGTGAACCTTGCGAGCCCTTTTGGCGCATGCGCGCTTGTCCCTGAGACCCGAGACTCTGGGACAGCTCCTGAGCTCACAGTACACCTCTCCCCTGTTTGAAATGAAAATTTCTACCCCAACTCCGAAGACAACAGAGGAATCAGACTGTGAGAAAAGAATCTAAGAGGCCATGAAAAGTGTGAGTTACCTTCAGGAGCAGTTAAGCCTTTAAGAATGGAATGCGCCACATAAATCATTGTTTTTCCGGTAGGGAACGAATCAGAGCACCCCCTGCCCTGTCTGAGGCTTTGTTCCTAGTCTAACACAGTTCTCGACGGATCCCCCAGTACTTCCACATTAGCCCCTCCCTCTGTTTCCAGTTGGCCAAAGACATCTCTTTGCCGTCCTGGAATCCCCCCCTCCTCTGAATTTGTAACACATTTTCTTATTAACCTCTGACGGATTACAAACCTCCTAAGCCCCAACTGCGTGATAATAAGTGTATCACTTTCTAGGCGTGAGGACTGTCTCTGCAGTGAAAAAGAAGCTGTTTTTCTTGGCAGAGCACGCTTTTTAGGGTATTGGTTGTGTCACAGGCGCAAGCGATGGGGAGAACTTTCCGTCGAGATGAAGTGTGCCTGA